TAGTCTTTTCCTTTCCTTTTAATAACAGAAGACATTATAAAAATTCTCACTTCACTCTCTTCCTATTCTTAACTTTTCTTGGGAGGAATCCAGTCAGGAGATGCCAAGGTTGGAGTCTTTTTATCAAATTGTTCATAGAAAAAATGATGTGAGCCAACACAACAGCGGCCAGCATCTGTTGTCTCTGCAAGGAGACCACAGCAGTAATTATGCACACGGTAAGTCGCTTAAAAAATAAATTGATCGATTTAAAAAATTAGGTGTAGAGAATAAAAAGGCACCTGAGGATTTTTACAGTTTTTATGATCGAATCAGCTGTAGCCGAGAGAGTCATTTTATAATGTGAACATTCTTAGTTTCAGTCCCACATTTTCTTCAGAATTAACTATCCTAATCCTTTTCATTACTCTCAGAGTCTGATGACTCTTGTCCTAGAGTGGAGTCTCCCTCCCAACTCCTCTGATAATGGATTGGGACCTAGTGTGATAGTAGGCCTTTGATTAATGAGTCAGATCCTGGGTAGACTAAGGAGGATAAGTGATAACTTAGGCAGACTTTTTACATACCTATTTACTTTTCCTCTTTATTCGTCTCAAAATGAAAATCCTAAGCCTTTCTATTTTACATTTATGAAAGAAGATAGCAGTGTAGTTAATAGGAGGAGCATGATCCTTGGATTCAAATCTCAGCTTCAACGTGTAGTAGTTTTGTAAATATATGTCTCTGGACATCAGTATCCTCCTAATGACTACTTTGCAATTTCTCCAGCCATCAGCATAAACAATAGATACCCAAATATGGCTATTATTATTATTATTATTATTGTCATTGTCAATTATTCTGACCTACAGAAATACACAAGTTCCTTGAAAGTATACATTTTTGGAGAATGATCAGGAAATGGGGCATATTATACTTTCTTTTTTTTCCCTCTTTTTGTTTTCTTTTCCTTCATTCACTATATGCGTGTGTACATGTATTTGTGATTATGAATGTGTGTGTGTGTGTGTATGAATTTCATATAATGTGTGTCAGGCAGCACTTCAAGCACTTTGGTAACATTAATGAATAAAACAGATAAAAAATATCATACCTGCCCGTGAAGCTTATGTGATCCTGGTAGGGACAGCTGGAGGCTGACAGATCCTGTGAAAGGTGAAGCAAGGTAAGAGAGGTAGGAGCGGGGAGCAGGGTGCGTCATAAATAGGGAGGTCAGAGAAGGCCGGAGTGGGGCCAGGACACTGGTTTTGTGTTCCGGGAGGTTTCAGGTACCACCTTTGAGAACTGAGAGCACAGAAAAGAATGGGAGCCTGCCGATTTGTACGAGAACACGAGTGGTTCCTTTGTCAGAACGCAGACCAACATAGCAGACTTAAGTCTTCAGGTGGCCTCGTTTTATTTTATTCAATTTGAACAAAAACCTCCCATAAATGCTTGTTCTACATACCCTGCCTTCCCAGAGGATGGATACTGAATTCCGCCCAGTTGGTCTGTGACTGCTGCTGGAGGTCATCACCGTGACTGTCACATCTGTCACTGAACTGTCATGAAACCACGTCCTCAGGGCCAGCGGAGGTGCTTTCTGCTGTTGGCTACATAACGGCTGAGCCTGCCGCGGTTGTGAGTTCTACAGAGTCGCTACCGCACACACATGGCTGTTCAAATTAAAATAAATGACATTAAAAATTCAGTTTCTTAGTCACATTAGTCACATTTTACATGCTCAATAGCCATACGTGTCTAATGGCCGCCGTGGTAGCACAAATACAGCACATCTCCAGTGCTGCAGAAAGTTCCGTCGGCATTTGGTCTTTTACATATTCGTCTCTCTGACATTGTTTCTCGTGGTGCTATCAGCTCCAACCTTATCTCTTCCTTTTGGTTTGTTGTCTCTCATGGTTTATAGGTTTAAATAGTACACTTAGAATTTTGTGTGAAGTAAGGGTAAGGAGGCTCTACCAGAGAGCAGAGGAGCTTTCTTGTGTTCAAGTCCTTGAGTTTTCGGACTTAGAATTTATATTCCTATTCTGACTGCCCCAAGGCCTTTTTTGCTTGGTTATTGTAATGCAACTGTGCTCTGGCTGGTAAGAGAATCAGACTGCTGAGTTATTATGGGCGAAGTGCTATCAAACTTTAAAAGTAAGATTGCACTTTTATGGAAATGCTTTAGGCCAGTCAGTGGTACCATACTTGGAGCAATGCTATTCCAGGAGTGTTCATTGACCGACTGCCTGCACCTACGCCAGCACTGTTAGGCCCAGGAGATGCAAGTAAAAATGCACATAGCTCCAATCCCTGAGATCACAGTTTATGTAGTGGAGGGAGCCATAAACAGGAAGAGTTTCAGTTGTGCAGGGCCCAGATAGGCCCAGGATATGCTGAAAGACCAGCCAAGATGGTTCATAAGCCAGCCTTCCCCGGGGGTGGCGAGGAGGGAAATGAGACAGGAGATCAGAAGCCAGGGAATGCTCCTTGAAAAAGAGAGTCTTACATGGCATCCTGGAGGATAAACAGGTATGACTCAAAAGATGGAGTTGGGAGAATGAGATCAACCAGACGTGATGTACCGTAGCGTGAACAAAGATGCCAAGGAGTGAACCGGCATGCGGAGAGCGGGACCTGTTAAGCTTATGATTGATGGAATTTAGAAGAAAAGGGAGATTGTGTTTATAGAGAGGGACTGGCTTTGAATGGTATGTTGAAGTGATGGTTTTCAGCAGAGCAGGGGGGTGGCGGGCAGGGCAGGAGTGGTGACGTAGGCTGATCGGTCTTCCCAGCAGTTCAGTGGTTCAGGTAAACTTGGCTGTTACCTCCTCCATGGAGGTAAAGTTTGGGGGAGCCGGGGTGGAGTCTGGGGTAGCAGTGGTGGTGCGTGGGTGGAAGAGGATGGCGTCACAGCAGGCCCTCAGTCCAGGCCCACACACAAGGCCTGATGTGAGACTGTAATGGGGTGGAGCAGAGGACCTGAGTTCAATCAATGTTTAAAGCATAAAATTATCAGTATTTGAGGATCAATTAGATGTGGGGGCTGAAGGAGAGAGGAGTCAGAGATGACCGTAAGCTTACAGGAAACCAATTAATTTGAACCCTTCTTCCTTGTTTGCAGTCCTAGGTTTTGACCTATAGCCTCTCCTGGGGATCTGCATCGGCAACTGTGGTGTCTAGGCTGCGTTTTGGCTCTTCAGGACGCCATCACGCTCTCATTTGTTAACAGAACTTGGAGCATAGACCATAGTGAAGTACCACCTCCTATGACTTTAACTCTGCAGCGGCCTATGAAAGTTTATAGAAATTCGGCTTCATTTCTAGTGGCTCCAATCCAGATGCCAAAATTACCCCATTGCAGGGACAGCCCTTGGGTGGACCACTGAATCTGTTCTTCATTATGAACAACTGAAAACCATCAACAAAGTTCTTGTATTACGCCAACAATAACACTAGTCAAACGTTGAGGTAATTCCAGGTTTCAGAAAGTTATGAATCTCAAAGTCCATCTCGCTGACTCTTATTTGTATGTTTACACTATTTATTTATCACGTGGAAAAGCGAGTGGCGTCCTAACTTTTTATAATGGCACATTGCTTTTTTCTTTTCTTTTTTTTTTTAGGTTATAAATGACATTCTGAGCTCTGAATGCTGGTGGAGACATGCTTATAGATCTGTAGTCAGTCACTTTAAAGTAAAAGTACAAATTGAGTCCAGATAGGGGAACCAGAAGTAGGAATGGAGCCAGCTCAAAGGGTCCATTATAATGGGGCCTATAATGAAAGCAAGAATTCTCTCCTACCTGCAGTGCATTTTAAAAGGATTTTCCAAGTAACAGTTAATATTTTAATGACATCTGTTAACCTTCCAGAAAAACCTAGTTCTCTATTTTGCAAGATTAAGGAAGTATGCCAAATACATGTTGATACTTCAGCTTTTAACTGACATATTTCATGACTGCATGGCTAAAGCCACAAAATAGTAGGTGCCGGCTACTTTCTTTTTATAGTTTTATTTAGTCACTGCATCTGGGCTTTGTTGCCGAATGTCTTCTCCTTGTCACTCAGATTGCTCCACCAAATTGGATGCTCAGTGGTCTGGCAGTTTGAGTGACTTCTTGGAGGCTGTGAAACTCTGTTCCCTAATCAGGAAGATCTGGGCAAGTCTTGGATGAGGAAAGATGACACGTCTCTTCTGAGTGAGACAAGAGGATTGTAGGACAATTACACAATGTCTTCAAAAGTTTTATCTGAAGAATAGTTGATGTGTTTTGGTGATGAACAAGTACTATAAATCGAGAAGCGTGGGAAGTCTTCATATTCTTTAAGAGTGTTTTGTGTAAAGGAGGATAGAAGACAAGCAAGCTGACTTCTCATAATTTTTGGTAGAACTATCGTTCTACCAAACCTTTTCCCATTGTTGCTTGAAAAGTGAAATAAAAATAAAGTGAGTAACTTGATGGGAGTTGTCTGTGGTATAGAGACACCACATTAACTATTTGTCAAAAGTTGGATTTTTGAAGATTCTTGGCTTCTTAGAACTTTGGCCATGCACTGCCATTCTTTACATGATGTCCATGAAGCTTGTTTAACAGCATATCAAAACAGCTTTATAAAGAGATAAATATGTGTTTCATGGGTCCCAATGGGAGCTTTCTGAAATGCATATTCTTTGTAAATAATTAGTGTCATTCTGTGAAAATCATGACTTCTTAGGGTGGGAAAGAAGGGATAAAAAGCTATCTTTTTAAGTAATTTGTGATTTAGTACCAGCTGGTCAAGTGAGTTGAAAAACCTTCTGAGTCATATGTCATATTATTTTGAATTCCTTTTCTCTCTCTTGGGAAACTGGCTAACGTTTGCAGCCCTTGTCCCACAGCAAATCACTCTCAAACTTTGACCTGCTCAAGCCAGTTCGTCGGGTGTAGCAGATGAAGCATGTATGACCTTTAGTGTGTTGATTCAACCTGGTTGGTCGGAAACCATAAGTTAATCCTGTATGACTTTTATTTCTAGGCATTACAGCAGAAGTTCTGGTGGTGACCTCTTTCGAGGAACTGCAGAGAAGGGCCCCAGAAGCAAGAGGGAAGATTGTTGTTTATAATCAACCTTATGTCAACTACTCGACGACCGTGCAGTACCGGGTCCAGGGGGCAGTGGAAGCCGCCAAGGTGGGGGCTTTGGCGTCCCTGATCCGATCAGTGGCTTCCTTCTCCATCTACAGGTTGGTCATGGTGTTCATTTGAAATTCTTTAAAAAGCCAGGATTGTCCGTGAAAGAGAAGCCCTTGTGAAATAAAAAACAAACAAACAAAAAAAAAAACCAGTCAAATGAAAATACTTATTGTTTACGGGATTTTTCCCATTCCAGATTTGGCCATTTGTTTGTAACATCTTTGGCCTTTTTGGGATTCCAGGCATTATTTGTACATTCTTTTAAAAAGCTTTCTACATCCACGATGACCCCATACATTCCTTATATAACCAATATGTTCTGTATTTTCGTTGGAGGGAGAACTAAATTCACGTCTGTGTTTCATCAGATTCCTAAGGACTTCAGATGGAGCCGGACCTTTTCCCATTGTTGCTAGAAAAGTGAAATAAAAATAAAGTGAGTAACTTGATGGGAGTTGTCTGTGGTGTAGAGACACCAGAGGAAGAGAAAGGAGGAAGAAAGAAAGGAGGAAGAGGAAAGAGAGGAGGAAGCAGAGGATCTTGGGTATAGACCCGGTCTTGCCACCAAACAAGCATGTGGCCTTGGGAAGAATGTTCTTAAACTCTTTGGGTCTTGGCATTCTCATCTGTGAACCCGGTGATGATGAAGAATTAAAAATTTACGTTGTTACTGTAAGGCTAAATGAGATGAACTTATGGAAGATACTTGATTTTCTGCAAAGGTCAATATAAGTGTTTGGTGGTATTTAAGGGCAACAGAAGTTTTGTTTTTTTTCTTTGTAGTTCTGATTGAGGTAATTGCAAAGTGCTTTGCTGACCCTCAGTCTTAGTATAAAATTCAGGATTGCAGTGGACAGAAGTTCTAAAACTTGACCTGTAGACAGTTGGCCTAGTGTCCCACATGAAGGGTGAAATATTTGAGGGATATAAACAGGGATAAAAGAAGCACCGTCTTAGTGTAGTAGCCTGGTCTCCCAAAGATAGAAAAGAAAGCAAGCAGAAACAATTGAAAATAGGGTTTATTTGGGTTTCAAGATCAGACTAGTGTCTGTTGTGAAGGAAAGTTTATTTATTCTACCCAGTTTTTGTTTGGAGCTGGAGACACAGCTGCTTGACCTTAATTAGCACCCTGTGCCCTTGAAAATAATATAACTGACGGGGCATCAGCAAATAGGAAACCAAGTCAGAAGAGAGTTGTCCCAAAGCACAGACAAAAAAAGGACAGGGATATTTTTCCTTTACAGGGATAAGATATTTTCCCAGAGAGGAAGATGGGACATATTAAAACCACTTTTAAAAGTTGTATAAGAGAGAAACTAGTTCCACTGATGTCATAGTGCTAAAAATAATGTTCTTTGTAGAGACTAAAGGTTCGGTGACTAGTGAAATAATCATTGGACTGTATTCTCTTGGACGGTTAATCTTCCCAAGAGGGAAGTCCTACAATGGCTAGCTTACTTCCCAGAATACCTCAATCACCGCTTAGAATGACACACTCAGCAGGCTGTGGCCATTCACTATGATTTCACTGGTCATGAGATCTAAATTACGGAGCTAGCCTGTTGCTTCGTGAAATTGGGTGATTGCCAAAATTATTTATTTAAGAACTACTACTCATAAGACTGATAAACTCCCAAACGACTTAGAATACTGCAATCTATCAGGGTTAATTGACATTTTTTTTTTTCTGGTGTAATGAAGACATCTGGAAAGCAAGGCTATAATCTAGGAGCCCCAGAAAAATTCTGCCCGACATAGATGTAGACGTCTGTTGTTAGCCTCTAATATTTGGGGTCAGCGGCTTACAGTGTATATTAAAAAGGCATTTTTCTTTTTCTTCATATGTCTAGATCTAGACTGATAATTTTTCATTGATTTTATAGCTAACCATATTGCACTGGACTCTTGACTTTTATGACCTCGTATTTTTGACATTTATAAATACATAATAAAATTGCCCTTCACGTAGTACGGTAAAAATCTTTCACGTGTGTCATCCTACTTGCTCTGACAACTTAGTGGACCAGGCAGAAGGGGCACTTTTTATCCCCATTTTATGGATGTGGAAATCAAAGTTCAGAGAATTGAGCATATGAACATGCTTAAGTCTTACATCCTAAATATTTAACCAAAATGAAACAAACTCTGTTCCTTTGTCCACTTCTAGCTAATTGTTTCTTAGAACTAATTTTCCTTCAGGAGTATTTTATATTCCCGTCTCTAATTCTTCATTCGTCTTTCGCTCTGCGACCATTTTATTTATTTATTTTAATAATAAATTTATTTTTTATTGGTGTTCAATTTGCCAACATACAGAATAACACCCAGTGCTTATCCCATCAAGTGCCCGCCACCTAGTCACCCTGACCCCCCGCCCTCCTCCCCTTCCACCACCCCTAGTTTGTTTCCCAGAGTTAGGAGTCTTCATGTTCTGTCTCCCTTTCTGATATTTCCCACTTATTTTTTCTCCTTTCCTCTTTATTCCCTTTCACTATTATTTATATTCCCCAAATGAATGAGACCATATAATGTTTGTCCTTCTCCGATTGACTCATTTCACTTATTTCACTTATTTCAGACCATTTTAATCTGCCTCTTGCCAGTATTGACATGGAACTCGTTAAGGTCATGAAGAGCAGCCCTGGTTGTCAAATAGAATGGACCCTTCTCAGGCCACCTTCTCACCTCACCTCTCTGCAGCATTTGTCGCTGTTGACTGCTTCCTAAGTATCTCTGCTCTTTGGCTTCTACGACTTCTTTCTCCTTGCCTCTTTCTCTTTCTCACTCTCACCCTTTCCCTCTTCCTTTTCCATTTCCTTGACTTCTCACCCTGAACTTTCTACCTGAACAGTCCCGTCATGCTTGTGGCTTCAGCCACCATCTCTGGGTGACGCCTTCCAAACCCACCTCTCCTTCCCATAGCACTGCCTGAGCCCTAAGCCCATACATCCCAACACCTCTCGGTGCGTCTTTCGGATGTTCCATAGCTATACCCACTTCAATTTTCTTCAAAACTGAACTCCTCTTTTTACCTCTTTCTCCTGCATTTCTCACCACAGAGAAGAGAGTGACATCTCTTCTGTCTTCCAAGTTAGATGGTTCTTGAGTAGTTTTTTTTTTTCTTTTCTCATACCCATCATTTCTGGCATGACCATGTCTCCTAGGTTCTGGTCTTTATTACTCATTTCAAGAAATCCTCATGGAGTAGCCCCATTTCCCAACACCACTCCACATTCTAGTAGTCAGGAGTCACTAACACTTTCCCGACGGACCACATTTCCTCAAGGCTTCATGACGTTGCCTATGCTTTCCCGCTTGCTGCCTCCTATCCTCTTCCTCGCTGTCTCATTCTGTCCTTCAGGATTCATCTAAGTGTTTCTTTTTCTGGGGAGCCCTCCCTGGTATGTAGCTCCAGCCCAGGCGAGCCACCTCTTTCTGGCATTCCCACACCATCCTATGCATACTCTGTATCAGAACATCTTGGAGGCAGTTGCGGTTCATGCTTTGGTGGGGTGCACTCACTGTCGTCGCAACTTCAAATCTCAGTCACGTAACACAATGGGAGTTGATTTACTGCCCACATAATGGTTCCGAGAGGGTGTCCAGCAGCGGCTCTTCTTCTGCTTTGCATCATGTGACGCCATCACCTCTAAGATCTGAGTCCTCTGCAGGATCTTTTGCATCCGGCTGGGATATAAGAAGACAGGGAGAGCTGATAATCACACGGGAGGTTTCTCGTGGCCGGGTTTAGACCTGGCATATCTCGCTTCTACTCATGGTTTGGCCAGAATGAAGTTATAGGGAGTTATAGGAAGGCTAGGAAATTTGGTCTCCCTTTATGCCCTCTGTGAAAGGTAAACGGTCCAGTCCAACCTGCCTCCACTCAAAATTCCAGAAAAAAACATGGAAAAAAAATATGTGTATACGCACGCACACACACACACACACACACACACACACACACACACACACAAGTATAAAACCTCTATATCCTCATCATCCAGTATGTTTGTCATGTAATAGTAACTCAGGAATGTTCTGCTGAAGGAATGAACTTGTTTTTTGTTTTGTTTTGTTTGGTTTTGGTTTTGGTTTTTGGTTTTTTTAATGAACTTGTTTGAAACTGTACAGTCAGTCGTGGAAGGGCTTTCATGACAAACCAGGTGACCAGATTCTAAGTGCTTTCAGGCCAAAGCGTGGAGCCTCAGTATAGTAAGTTCAAAGCAACTTGAATTCTTAGGGCACTTTGCTCTGTATTCAAGGGAAATATCCAAGTGCCCAATATGCCGGGTTATAGCCTTCTAATGCCACAACATTTGTGAACGATGCATCATGTTATGAATCGCTAACTGCATAAAACAGCTCCCTTCTCTCCGACAGATGTTTTGCCCTCAGTTCCCTGGGAGGGGTGAGTCCGGATTCCATTGAGGGGGTGGCATAGAGATCAGCAACACTAGAGAACAGGATATAAGTTGTGACTGGTTTTTGCTTGGCCTCAAGATTAGAAAATCCCCTAAAAGGCAGAAAATGTGTTTTACCAGCTTGACTGGACACTTGTCAGTACAGTCAACGCTATTTGTCAGCCATTGTGGATGGAAGCACAACAGTCACGGGGTCCTCTGACCAGTGTCTTTGTGAAACATCTGATGAGCACTGGGTGATATTCTATATGTTGGCAAATTGAACACCAATAAAAAATAAATTAAAAAAAAAGAAAAAAAGAAACATCTGTAAAATGCCCATTACTTGTTGCCTTCAATATCTCCAGGTTCATTGTTGTTATTTCTGTCTGTTGCCAGTATTAGTATTCTGGTGCTCAAATTTACTTCAGAGAGAAGTGCTCTTTATTGATGCTTTTATAATGACTTTTCTTTTGTTCACCATTAAATATCAACTGGGACTCTCATTAGATCTGTTTTAGGCTTTCTGTATGTAAAATACCTTTGCCTCTGTCATAGGAGGATATTTTAAGGATAAATGTAATTATTAATTTAGGCTCTGCAGAGGAACCATTTGTCTCATGTTATTTCTCAAATTAATTAGCTTTTTA